GCAGGGGAGGTTGGCCGGGGCTCTGAGCACCCTGCTCTAGCTGGGGATGTCCCTGCTCCCTGCAGGGGGTTGGGACCAGATGACCTTTTAGTTCCCTTCCAACCCAACCATTCCATGATTTTACAAATGCCATCTGGGCAGTCCTTGGAGCTGGGACCAAGCAGCCCTTAATTCCTTGGAGCTGGGGGCTGGTGCAGCAGGGCTTGCCCAGCGAGGTGGCTTGGCAGCAGCTGGAGGAGGTGACTTGCTCTGTCTCACTGAGAGGCCTGTGTCTGCTGCCCAGTAAGCGTGCAAGGAGATGGGCAATTACCTCCTTAAGTAATCCTCTGAGCTAACGAGGGCTAGTTTAGTATGGATTTATGCCTCCTGCTACTTGAATAAGTGCAAGCTTCAATTGAAGCTTTTTCAGCATTCAGAGCACTTTCCTTTCTTGTGGATTCTTGGGCACTTTTGACATGATGAGGCTTTGCTGCTGCCACCTTTCAGTCCAAGCATCTGTCTCCTCCTGAAGTATTCATCCAGCCTTTGGAAGACTGACCTTTTCAGGTCCATACAAAAGCTGCTTGGAGTTTCAAATGTATTTGTGAAGGAACACAGATACCCTTGGACAAATATCCCCTGAAAAAGAAAGTATGGAGAAAGAACTCTGCTTCTGTGGAAGCCAGGGTGAAGGAGGCTGGAGCTGTGCTGGGGCAGCTCCAGGGAGATGAAAGGTCATTGTTAAAGAGCTCATTACTGACCTTCCATGAACCAGCCATGGGCCTCATGGCCAAGAAGGCCAATGGTGTACTGGGATGTATGAAGAGTGTGGCCAGCAGGTCGAGGGAGGTTCTCCTGCCCCTCTCCTCTGCCCTAGTGAAGCCACCTCAGGAGTATTGTGGCCAGTGCTGGGCTCCCCAGTTCCAGAGAGACAAGGAACTAGTGGAGAGAGTCCAGCAGAGGCTACAGAGCTGCTGAGGGGCTGGAGCATCTCTGTGCCAGGACAGGCTGAGAGCCCTGGGGCTGCTGAGCTGGAGAAGAGAAGCCTCAGAGGGGATCTGAGCAGTGCTGAGCAAGAGCTAAAGGGCCCCAAAAGAGCTCTTCCTGCTGGGTTCCACCATCAGGGATGCAAATTTGGGCTGTGTATCACTGGCAGGGGATCTTCACACTTCTGAACCTTCCACTCCTCTGCTCTGGTCCTTTTTCCCTTGTAACATCCTCGTCGCAGTGAGATTGAGAAGTTGGTTCCTTGTGTTTGTGACAATAAAATGCATCTGCACTGAAATCATCTTAAAAATGGGCAGATGTTCTCAAAACCCTCGACTTGCTAGTGAGGCCTCCTTGGCTCTGACAACAATCACAAACTTCACAGAGAAGGTCACTTTTATCCTCCCCCTTCTCAGCATCATCTTATGGCAAAATTTGCCTAAACTTAACCACCAAATTCACCGAGGGTGGGTGGGTGCTGGGTTTGGTTTTGGGGTCTTATTCCAGCCCAGCTGATGTTCAGTCCATCCCAAAAGCTCATAGTGCATCCTGACATTATCCTCAAGCCACAGACTTTATTTGTATTCCAAACCCATCTCTTGCAAAGTCGTCTTTTTATGAGCACGAGGAACTAGAAAGCATAAATATTTATTCCTTAAAGGTTATGATTGCCTTAAATCATTCAAGCTGATTTGGTGAGCATCAGATATAATTAAACTGAGCAGCTGAGCTCGATCTGCATGTGTGAAACACTCTGTGTGTGTCTATATGTGTGTGCTTGCCTCCAGTGTGGATGGAACTGGGAGCTAATTGCTTCCATCACTGGTAATTTTGTCGTTCCTGGGTGTGATGATAAATCACCATCAAGAAGCAGTGGAAATGAGGTACTGAAAGGATATAAAAGTCCCATTTTAACACGCAGCATACGCTGTGGTGGCAAAAGGAGCAGAGCTCATCTCGTGTCTAACTAGAGGGAGATAATGAGGCACGTTATGGAAATGATTCCAGTTTTGGGTGCTGGAGAATTTCTGGTGTACTGGGGTTGATGTGCATACCTTCATGTGAGCTTACAGCTCCCTGGGGGCCTGTGAACCTTGGATTTGGGTGTGATCCTTCACGTGGCTGCACGGGTAGCCCTCGTGGGGTTCCCATGCTGTGTGGTTGGAGTCCTGCTGCATGGAGGGCAGAGGTGGGGTGGGACTGGTGGTGGGCTTGGAGCCAGGTGGGGTTTTTCTCCCCTGAAGCCCTGAATGAATGATGGAAATGGTGGTGCTGTGAGCTGTGTTGCTTGGCTGTGCTCAGGGGCTGGTTTTGGATCAGCTCAGTGTTTCTCAAAGAGCTTGTCCAGGAAGTGTGGGGCTGCCTGAGACAAGTTTGCCCCCCTGGGGAGACCTTCAGCAGCAGGAAGGGACCAGGGCTGAGCCCATTTGGTGGCCCAGGTTCACATCTGTAGGTGTGAACCTTTCCCCTGTCCTTTGCAAGTGTGAAGGTGGAAAAGGATGAGCCAGAGTTTCCCAGCCCTGCTCATCTCCAGCCCTTCTGGGTTTGATGGTACCTTTAAAAATGGTCATTTTGGGTAAATTCAGAATAGCTGGGTAGGCTTTTCTGAGTATGTTGGTGCAGAGAGCAAGGCAGCCATGTGCACATACCCCACCAGAATCAGAAGAGACCAGATATGAAATCCCATTTTAATCTGCTGCTGGTGACTCTGGAAGCTATAGGATGAAAGTGTCATTTTTGTTGTCATTACATTGAATTTGAAAAGCCAAAGGAAACCAAACACCTCTTGTTCTATAAAACATCAGTGGAATTGTTTATTATTAATTATTATATAGTGGGTAGGAATGTACATCTAAGTTAGAGATGGAAATCCTAGCTTAAGGAATGGTCTCCAAAGGTATGGAAACCACAATTTCCATCCGTCCACATGGGTGTCCTGTTGGACATCCCTGTGAGGGGCTGCTGTGAGGCTGCTGATGCATGGACCACCCCATATTCAGAGGCACCTTAGACTTCAGGGTTGGAATTGATGGTTCCACAGCGTTTCCTTACATCCAGAGAGCTCATCAAAGTTAATAGTTTTGCCAGAGGCTTTGACAGAAGCAGGAAAAAAAAGGAATTGTCGTTGCCTGAGGTCCAAGCATCGTCTGGAGATGGAGAGTACTTCACTGTCTTGTTAGAGGTGGCCAAGGTACAAGTGCCTCCAGCCACATTGTTGTGCTGTAGGTAGCACAGCAAACATCACAGTGACCTGTTCCTCTCCCCTAAATGCTGTATTTATCATTCTTTCTTCAAAGCCAGCATGGATTACATTTATCACAGTACCTTGCAGGGGAGTCTCTTTATCGTGCCACCGAGCATGTCTTGCAGGAATTTCTCTTATCATGACTTAACGAGGGGAAAAAAAAAAGGAGAAATAATAAAATGTTTCTTTTTCTGATGTTTTTCCTGCAGCTGCTTCCAATCCCTCTTCCTCTGGTAGCCTGTGCTGCTGTCAGCAGCCAGTTCTGCCCTCCTGGGGAGGAGACCTCCAGGTTGTTGCTGTCTCCCCTCTCCCCCTGCTTTTTTCTCCTTAAAGAAAGATTTTGTGTCTGAATACACAGTTAATGGGAAACTGGTGCTCGAAGCTGGACCTCAAATTTGTCAGTAGCCACAAGTTTTTAGGATTAAATACCCTGGTTTAGTTGGCACAGCTCTAGCAGCAGACCTGGATTGGTAATTTATCAGGAATAATGTCTCTGAGTGATGTGGTGGTTTGGGGGTCTGTGAGTTGTCTGAGCAGACTGGGATACCCTTGGATCACAAAAAGCTGCAGTGTTAAATTATCAGCAAGAGAATTTCCCCTGGATAGAGCAGGATATGGAGTTTGTGGTGAGTAACAGTAAAAACTAGAAGTCTGTTAATTAGTCTTAAATAAAAAAAAAACAGATTTTGCTGTAATCTGTTGTGAAAGCATTAATATATCCTTAAAAATTCTTATTTTGAGGGCTACGTTTTTATTGATTTAAAACTCTCATTACTTGATGGGACTTGTGGATATTGTGGACAGACTAGACCAGGAATTCAGCTCAACTCAACACTCAATTTTTAACCATTCAAACCATTCAGGGAGAAGTGTTAAGCAAGAGAGGAAAAGAACGTCCTGTGAAGTATGGCTGGAGGAAAAGTGAGCTTTTTAAAGGCATTTTTATTGGGGGAAAAACCAAACCCTGTTGCTTCTGGTTTGAATGCAGGTTCTGCCCCCAGGATGGATGCTCACGTGGGTCCGTTGATGCCAGCACAGGTCACCCGAGTCACGGCGGTGGCTGCGCCGGCCGTGACCTTCATGGCCACCAACCTGATGGACCAGACCTTAGCAGGTACGTTCCTGCCTCACCTACTCCAGGGCTGAAGCCTCTGTGATGTATTTGTGTGCCTCCAACCACGCCGTGCTTCCCACAGGAACGGGGGACCCTTAAAAAATGGGCTTTTAACGCCGTTTGCTGTAGCTGGTTGCGAGCGCAGCCGGGGCCGTTTGGATCCTGTGTGCTCGCTCTGGCAGCAGCTTGGATCATACAAAAAGCAACTTTCTGCAACGTCCTTGGGCTTTCTGTGTCCCTTGCCAGCAGTGCTGCTGAGCATTGCAGCAATAACATGGGGATCTTTGGGATAGTTGCTCCACAGAGGCTCGTTGGCTGCAGCCTCCGAGGATGCTTTTTGTGGCACTGGGCTAAACCTGCTTTGTTCCCTGCCAGGTGACTGTGTGTGTGCTGTCCTGAGGGGAGGGGCAGAAAGGCTTGAGGACATCCCGTGGCTTTTCTCAGGTTCACATATCTTCATTGCAAAGAGTCAAAAAGTGATCAGATTTTGATAGGAAATTGGGAATGTCTTCCCTGGTGAGGTGGAATTGCTCTGGCAGTGCTGCTGTGGTGGAGGCAGGAGCTCTGTTC